TAGGCACCCAGTACAATGCCTGGATATTTTTTAGAGACAGGGTCTCATGCTTGCTCAGGGTGGTCTTGAACTCCTGAGCTCAGGAGATCCACCACGTAGGCCTCCCAGAGTGCTAGGATTACAGGTGTGAGGCAACACGCCTAAGAGGTAAAAAAGGTTGAAAAACACTGGTATAACTATTGATTTTTACTGTCTGTTATGAAGTATCCTCCTCAGGTGGCATAAAACAATGTTGGTAGAAACACTGTGACTCAATTACAGCATGAAAAAATACTAAATTTCGTTAGTTCAAACTGGGGAATTATGATATATCCTGAATAAAACAGTTGCAAATTACAATGGCAAGAGGTAAACGTGAATGGCCTCAAGATCATGCTCTCCTGTTAGTTTTGATGAAACTATCTACTCGAATAGAACTTTTTTCTCTTTAGCTTGAAAAAAAGGCTTTTTAAAATCAATGTTTTATAAACAACATCTATTGCCATTCATGGAGAAGGTGATGGCCAGTGACCCTGTGTTACTTCTACAGCCTTTATTAGTTCTTAAGAACCTACTACCAGGCCCATTGTGGTGGCTCCTCCCTGTAATCTTAGCACTCTGGGAGGCTGAGGCAGGTGGACTGCTATAGTTAGGAGTTTGAAATGCCCACCAGCAAGAGTGAGACACTGTCTCTAAAAACAGCTGGGCGTTTTGATGGGCGCCTATAGTCCCAGTTACTCAAGAGGCTGAGGAAAAAGAACAGCTTCAGCCCAAGAGTTTGAGGTTGCTGTGAGCTATGATGCTACTGCATTCTACCCAGGGCAACAAAGTGAGACTCTGTCTCAAAAAAAAAAAAAAAAAAAAATGCTATTACTGTCTTCCCATAAATTCCCAGTGTTGAAAGCTTGTGGCCTGTTCTCTTTCTCTGATTTGGTAGAACAGTTAGTTCCTATAACTCACTATGTATTCTTCAAGGAGAAGGATGTGCTGAATGCTCTAGGCATGAAGACTGACACCACAGTTGTACAATATTCACTGCTCACTGCCATCCTGTATAAATCAGACAATATTTAATCTCAAAGGAAAAAGGCGTGATGATTCACATCTGTAATCCCAGCATGCTGGGAGACCAGTTTGGAAGAATTGCTAGAATCCAAAATGGAACACAGTAGGATAATTTTTGTCAAAAAGAAATTAAGAATAATCAGCTGGACTAAATATGGTTGACTCTAATCCCAGCTATTTGGGACACAGAGAGAACAAGATAGCTGGAGGCCAGGAATTATGGGTTGAGAGGAACGGACTATGATCACCCCAGTGCACTTTACCCTGCGTTACAGTCTCCACAAAAAAATAGAAACAGAAATTAATCTTCCAAGGCAGTGTTCATTCCTTCCAGAAAATGGCATACAAATGATTCTGTTATCAATTGAGACCTGTCATTCTACTGATTCTTTGCTAGATACTAGTGAAATGTTGGTAAGGATGGCAAATGAAGATTTGTCAAAGTGCAGAGTGAATGTCATAAAAAATAAAGTAGCCTTTTCAAAGAACCACAACATGAAACATTGTATAACCTAAGTGTCACCAACCAGGGCCATGTGTCCTTTCATGTGGACACTGATGATGCATCTTTAAGGAGAAGCATGTGCTGAATACTCTAGGTATGAAGACTGACACCACAGTTGTACAATATTCATTTGTCATGTTAGGCCAGTCAGTGTATTTGAATTTATGGCTACTTTCCACCACATAACATCAGACGTTAAATACTGGAGAACTGGAAATTAATTTATATCTTGTGCAAACTCACTGACCTTCCACATTAATGGTCTTTGGGCATTAGTCATGTGACAAACATTTCCTTTGGGTGGTTTCATGGAAGATGATGTACCTTTAGTTGTTTAGTAAGGAATAGTCAAGCCTGGAGAAAGTCCAGCCATATACTTTCCTTTTATTTGATTTCTCTTTAGTATGGACTCTGTGATGCTGATTAATGATGGAACTCATGATAGGCCAGATGCGGTGGCTCATGCCTGTAATCCCAGCACTTTGGAAGGCTGAGGCAGGTAGATTGCTTGAGCTCACAAGCTGGAGACCAGCCTGAGCTGGAGTGAGACTGTGTCACTAAAAACAGCTGGGTGTTGTGGTGGGTGCTGTAGTCCCAGCTACTTAAGAGGCTGAGGCAAGAGAATCGCTTGAGGTCAAGAGTTTAAGGTTGCTGTGAGCTGTGATGCAACAGCACTCTACTGAAGGTAACAAAGTGAGACTTCCCCTCCCCCCCAAAAATACACACATATATTTTATACACACTGGCCTATAGCATATGAAAGGGAGAAAATCATATACAAAGCAACTATGGTATACATGGGTTCCTATCACATTCTGAAAATGATTTCCCTAATTTTGTAAAAATCCTCTACTGTTCTTTCTTTATTTATTTAAAGACAGTCTTACTTTGTTGACCTGAATAGAATGCAGTGGCACCACAGCTCACAGCAACCTCAAACTCTTGGGCTCAAGCAATCCACTTGCCTCAGCCTCCTGAGTGGCTGGGACTATAGGCGCCTACAAAAATGCCTGGATAGTTTTTCTATTTTAAGTACAGAGTCTCACTCTTGCTCAGACCGGTCTGGAACTCCAGAGCTCAGGCCATCCACCCTCCTCGGCCTCTGACTGCTGGCCTTACAGTAGTAAGCCACCAGACTCAGCCACTATCATACTTATGTAATAAACATTTCCACACAATAATCTAGATTTTATTATTAAAAAATATTTTAGGAAACTTAACAAATGGTATTGAACAAACATTTTCTTTCTTTCTTTTTTTCTTTTTTTTTTTATAGAGACAGAGTCTCCCTCTGTTGCCCAATGTAGACTGCTGTGGCATCAGTTGAGGTGGAAGCAACTTCAAACTCCTGGGATCAAGTGATCCTCCTGTGTCAGCCTCTGGAACAGATGGCAACACTGGTGCTCACCACACCCTCAGGCTAATTTTTCTATTTTTAGTATAGAGGGAGTCTTGCTCTTTCTTGCTCAGAGTGATCATGAACTCCTGAGCTCAAGCAATCCCCCCACTTCCATCTCCCGAAGTGCTGGGATTAGAGGTGTAAGCCATCCCACACTATACAATGTGATTTATGGGGCAGCCAAGAAAGGAATGAAGTGTGTGATAAACATGGTCTTCCCTAAACAAGGGATTTCAGGAGAAAATATTCACTGTTTTCTTAAAAAGTCAAACTGCATCATGTGATATTTGAATATTAACACCTTTTATACCTTTGTTCCCTCTTCCTCTTCTGCTCTTCTTGCTAACAGCAATGCCTCAATGCTCCCTCCTTTGATATCAGTTGTAGGTTTAAACCCATGTGGGTACTCCACTTCCACCTGCCCCTTATAATTCATAACACTCCACAGCTGACAGACAGTTCCTCTCAAGCCATTTAAGCATCTGCTAATTGGAGGACTATTCTTTCTGATTTCCTCAGAAACCTCACTGTGCAATACAAATTCTCACACCTCTTCCATGTACAGAACCACCGCCAATATCCCAAGGAAAGGTTAAGTGCATGTGAACAAGCAAGATCCAGGGGACAGTGTTACGAGAGTCAATACAGGTGCTTCCTAGCAAAACAAAGTCCCATTTGCAGTGCTTACTCTTACAAGGACATGCATGAGTGATAATATTTCAAAATTATGTCACCGAGTTCTGCAAGGACAAAAGAGAAATCGAAGTATTTTTATCCTTATTGCCCAGACATTCCTTTATTTCATCATAAATTCCATCTTTGATTATGTGACTTTTTGCTTAAGGAAAATGCAGGTGCAAGACATGAGTCATTCTTGGCATAAGAGAGAAACATGTAGAAATATGATCACACAGAGCATATTCACCCATAGGGATGCATGTTTGAGGGTGTAAGAGTCTGAAGTTCCATCTCTCTGCAATTTTCACTGGACTCACGTTTTAAGTATTCTAGTTCACATTAATGTACCTACTAAGAATGACTTTGTAGTAATCATACACGAACACATGTACACAAAATAATCTGTTCTTGATTTCACCAAAAACATTGTTGTAGAAGCTTCAAGGATAAGAGCCTAATGCAGTTCAACTGGTATGTTGCAGCATGTTGGTATGCGAGAGGATCTTAGGTGCCTCAAAAATTGTTAAAGATTAATTAAATTGGCTAGGAAAGATGTTTAAAGCACAGTATGTATATCCATCTCTTTTTTTACTTTATTAATCAAAATAAACCAAGTGTGCACCCTAAGTTTAACTATAGACTCAAGCATTCCTGAGATAAAAAAGGTTAAAAAACACTGGCCTAATGGTTCATTATTATGTTATGAAAGATCCTCCTCAGGTGGAATAAAACAATGTCAGTGGGATACTGTGACTCATTTACAGCTATGAAAAAAACGTTAAATTTTATTGGTTAAAAATGATGAATTATGATGTAGCCTGAATAAAACAGTTGCAAATTACAATACCAAAAAGTAAATGTGAATCAGCCTCAAGAACACGTTCTACTGGTAGTTTTGATGAAACTGTGAACTCGAATATAACTTTTCTCTCTTTAGCTTCTTCTTTTTTTTTTTTTTTCCCTTGGCCAGGGCTGGGTTTGAACCCGCTGCCTCCGGCATATGGGGCCGGCGCTCTACTCCTTTGAGCCACAGACACCACCCTCTCTTTAGCTTCTAAAAAAGATTAGCTTTTATCAATGTTTGACAATCAACATCTATTGCCATTCAATGGAGGTGACCACCAGTATCTCTACGTTGATTTCAATAACCTTCATTAGTCATTAAGAATGTACTACTGTCTTCCCATAAAATTCTAGGGTCCAAAACTTCTGTCGTTTTTTTTCCTCTGATTTGATAGAACCCACCATCTATTTTTATATATATTTTTTAATTTTTTGCAGTTTTTGGCTGGGGCTGGGTTTGAACCCACCACCTCTGGCATATGGGGCCGGTGCCCTACACCTTTGAGCCACAGGTACTGCCCCCCACCATACACTCTTTAAGACGTCTGTGCTGAATGCTTTAGGCATGAAGATTAACACCACAGTTGTACAATATTCACTGCTCATTGCCATCCTGTGTAAATCAGGCAATATTAATCTCAAAGGAAAAAGGCACGATGACTCACATCTGTAATCCCAGCATGCTGGGAGACCAAGTTAGGAGAATTGCTAGAATCAAAAGATTTAATCCAGCCTGGGGAACATAGTGAGACACACTCTCTCAAAAACATATTAACAAAAACCAGATAGATCAAATATGGTATACCTGAAGTCCCAGCTCTCTGGAAGGTAGAGAGAACAGGAGTTGGAGCCTGGGAATTATGGGGGGCAGTGGGCTATGATCACACCAGTGCACTTCACCCTGCATTAGAGACTCCATAAAAACAGAAACAGAAATTAATCTTCAAAGGCAGTGTCCCTTTCCAGAAAATGCCATAGAAATGATTGATTAAGATCCAGCATTCTATTAATTCTTTCCCAGAGACCACAGTGAAATCTTGGTAAAGCTGGCATATGAAGACATGCCAAAGTTCATAAAAAGTAGAGTAGCCTTATGAAAGGCCCTCAAATAATGAAACATTATATAACCTAAATATCACCGGGTACAGTGGCTCACACCTGTAATTCTGGCAATGTGGGAGCCTGAGGCAGGATTGCTTGAGCTCAGGAATTTGCGACTTGTCTGAGTGAGAGTTAGACCCAGACTCAATAAAAAATCTAGCTAGATGCTATAGTGAGCACCCATAATCCCAGAGACTTAGGAGACTGAGGTAGCAGGATAACCACAGCCCAAGTTTCAGGTTGTAGCCAGCTATGATCACGTCAGTGTACTCTGCTCAGGGAATAGGGTGAGACTCTGTAGCAACAACAACAAAAAAGGTAACTAAATATGACTGACCATGTCCATATGTCCTTCCAAGTTTGATATGTACTGTGTCATAAGGGTCAATGTACTTTGATTTAGGTAACTCTCCACCATGTAAATCAGACATTTAAATACTGGAGAACTAGAGTGTGATTTATTCCTTTTTTTTTTTTTATTTGAGACAGAATCTCACTGTGTCGCCCTTGCAGAATGCTGTGCCATCACAGCTTACAGCAACCTCAGACTCTTGGGCTTAAGCCATTCTCTTGCCTCAGCCTCCCAAGTAGCTAGAACTACAGGCACCTGCCACAATGCCCGGTTATTTTTTGGTTGTAGTTGTCATTATTGTTTAGCAGGCCTGGGCTGGGTTTGAACCCGCCAGCCATGGTGCATGTGGCCAGCGCCGTAACCACTGTGCTATGGGCACTGAGCCAGACTGATTTATTTCTTGTGCAAACTCTCTGATACTCCACAGTAATGGTCTTTAGTATTAGTCACATGACAAACATTTCATTTGGGTGGTTTCATGGAACATATACTTTTAGATGTGTAGTGAGTGAGTGGTCAGGCCTGGACAAAGCCATAGCCACATACACTGCATTTGATTTCTCTTTAGTATGGACTCCGTGATGCTGATTGATGATGGAACTCATGATGAGAAGTTGTCACCCTCAGTGAGTCTGCAGAGTCTCTTACAAATGAATTCTCTGATGCTGTGCAAGGCATGAGATGTGACTAAGACTAACGACCTTACCACACTCATTACATTTGTAAAGAGTTCTCTCCTGTGTGGAATCTTTAATGACTTCTAAGGTATAATTTTAAACTGAAGACCTTGCCATAATCATTATACTCGTAAGGTTTCTCTCCAGAATGAATTCAAGATGAATGACTTTTATTTTTCTTTTTTTGAGACAGAGTCTCACTCAGTCACCCCGGGTAGAGTACCGTGCCATAATACCTCACAACCTCAAACTCTTGGGCTCAGTTGATCCTCTTGCCTCAGCATCCCGGGTTGCTGGGACTACAGGCAACTGCTACAATGCCTGGCTATGTTTTTTAAGAGAGGGGTCTCATTGTTGTTTCAGGTTGGTTTCCAACTCCTGAGCTCAAGCAATCCGTCCTCCTTGGCCTCCCAAAGTGCTGGGATTACAGGCATGAGCCACTGAGCCTGACCTGAGATGAACTCTTAAGGATACTTTGTGCCTAAAAACCTTACTGCAATCATCACATTTGTAGGGTTTATTTGCATTATGGATAACTGGATGTATATGAAGTTTCGAATGCAACATAACATTTTTCCCACAGTCATTGCATTTGTAAGGCTTCTCTCCTGTATGAATGCTCTGATGTTGTATAAGGTATCTTTTGCGAGTAAAAACTTTCCCACACTCATTGCATTTGTAAGGTTTCTCACCAGTATGTGTTTTCTGATGAACTGCAAGGGATATCTTCTGACTGAAGGCCTTGTCACATTCATTACACTTGTAAGGTTTCTCTCCAGTGTGTGTTTTCTGATGAACTGTAAGGGATATCTTCTGCCTGAAGGCCTTGTCACATTCATTACATTTGTAAGGTTTCTCTCCAGTATGAATTTTGTGATGAGTTATAAGAGTAGATTGTTGACAGAAGACCTTGCCACACTCATTACATTTGTACGGTTTCTGTCCAGTATGAATTCGCTGATGACGTGTAAGGGATGTCTTTTCTCTGAAGGCCTTGTCACATTCATTACATTCGTATGGTTTCTCTCCAGTATGAATTCGTTGATGACATGTAAGGGATGTCTTTTCTCTGAAGGCCTTGCTGCACTCACTGCATTGGTAAGGTTTCTCTCCAGAATGTATTTTTTGATGACCAGTAAGGAATATCTTCTGTCTGAAGGCCTTGCCACATTCATTACACTTGTAAGGTTTCTCTCCCAAATGGATTGTGTGATGAGTTTTAAGGTTTGATTTGTGACGGAAGACTTTGCCACACTCATTGCATTTGTAAGGCTTCTCTTCAGTATGTGTTTTCTGATGAACTGTCAGAGATATTTTATGACTAAAGACCTTGCCACATTCATTACACTTGTAAGGTTTCTCACCCAAATGGATTGCTTGATGAGTTTTAAGGTTTGATTTGTGACGGAAGACTTTGCCACACTCATTGCATTTGTAAGGCTTCTCTCCAGTGTGTGTTTTTTGATGAATTGTAAGGGATGTCTTCTCACTGAAGGCCTTGTCACATTCATTACACTTGTAAGGTTTCTCTCCAGTGTGAATTCTCTGATGCCTTGCTAAGTGTGCATTTCGCCTAAAAACCTTGCCACACATCTCACATTTGTAAGGTTTATTGCCATTATGGATAGCCTGATGTCCATAAAGCCTTGAAGGCAGACGAAATGCTCTCCCACAGTCTTTACATTTGTAAGGTTTCTCTCCAGTATGGATTCGCCAATGATGCACAAACTCTGAATTTTTCCTAAAGGTCTTGCCACACTCTTTACATTGCACAGGTTTCTTTCCAGGATGAACTACCCCATGGTTTGGAGGGCTTGAAGGCACACTCAAGACACTCTCATTATATGTGTAAAGTTCTTCCCTAATTTGTGCATTCAGTTCTTGTGTGACTATTGGAGAACTGACAAAATCGTTAAATACATGGGTTTTGAGCTTAGAAGGAGTGTTTTCAAGTGTTGAACATGAGGTAATATGGTTGAGAGAGTTTTCAATTTCATTGCATTCATCAATTTTCCCTTCATCTTGAAATAGTTGTTCAGGAAGATGAGAGTGAAAGCTTAATCCAAGTTGATTTTTAATAGATTTGTATCTTGCTTCCACTTCTAGTACACAGCTCCTCCCTAGAAAGCAAGAAAGAGTGGAACTTGAACACATGGATCTGTCATTCCATGACTCTAAGAATAAACTCCACCCCACTTGATTGGGACATGGGTATGAACATCAGTGTATTTTTTATGCCACACTGACAATGCTGAAAACATAAAGAGGCAAAGTGATGCACTGGACTAGCTGAGGTCCTGAAGCAGCCAGAAGGATTACCGGTGAGTTTCAGAGAGATTATGAACAGAGAGATACAACAGAAGCCGAAAGCTTCTGAAAAAAGCAGGGATGAGCTTCTTAGGAAAATCAGACTAATCAGGGAAACTGCTTCCACATTAGCAATAGTAAATGAAAACATCCAAGAAAGAGAGTCTGTCACATTAAGATGCTCAGCAGGGGAACTTGAGAATGTATTTAATTTCATCTGTAGACTTGAGATCAAGTGGTCAGGACAGCAGAATTATTCTTCCACAGAAAATGAAATGAAGCCAGCATTAGAAACCCACAAATTAGAAGGCCAGGGGAGAACCAGAGAGCTGGTGCTATCACAGCAGGCTCTTGGCCTGCCTCAAAGCTCGGACCCAGCAGCATCATATACCCAGTATGCTGATACAAAACCAGGACATCCCAACTAGTTATTTTTCACTTATGGAAACTAATATATCAGCCCAAGGTCAACAGTCAGCTGGACTGAGGAGAGGCTGCCCCCGAGATGCTATTCAAGCCCCTCCAAGTAGAGATTCACATAACGTGGAGATAAGGAAGCTGATCTTCCATGGACCTTGGCCTAATTTCGTACTTGTTTTGTGCTTTTCCTTAAAGAGGCTCCACAATTGTATACATTTGAGACTCCATATATAGGCCCACCCCTGGAACTCCACATACTCCTCACACTGAGGCTGGTTTCCAATTATCATCAGACTTGCTGGTAGATCTTCTTTAATAGAGAAAGATTTCTCTGAACTATGGGCCTATAAATACAAAGAGGGTGTCATATTTCAGGATAAAAGAGTGAGCCTATCTCTTTGGGGGTGTGATCTGGCCCATATCCCTGGTGTTTGATTTCATGATCCCTGGCTGCATCTGGTTCCCCTTCTACAATTCATGATTCCTTAAATTCCTTATAGTTGGAACATTTTTGTATACAGTCATCAAGCTGGCTTTCTTCTCCATTTCTTCAAAGATGCATTAAAATCCCTTCAATTTAATCCTCTTTTGCTGGAGTGAAACTAAGAATCCCCAGGCTAAAGGGGAAAAAAAAATGTGGTATCTGCCCATAGAAAGAGTATGATCTATACATCTTGCTCTTTGGGAGTGGAATGTCCCGGGGGAAAAGACTTAGCTTTTTCTGCTTTGTTCTAAATGTAAACGTTCACATGTACCATAACTGCTTTCTGAGAACTCAATAAATATTCATTGACACTGGGGGAAAAAATAAAACATCCAGGAAAGACAAGACACATCACCATAACAGGAGTGAGTGCTCCTAGATCCTGTCCAATATGCTGATGAGTAAAGGTCTCCCATGGCATAATTTGATGGCAAAAAGTGTGCTGGTTTTGTCAATGCCCAAACTTAAAGTAAAAATTACAAGGCCTACCGACAGACAGGGAAGTATGCCCGAATAAAAGGAATCAAATAAATGTCATGAAACAAAACCAAAAGGAATGCGGTATTCAGAATAACTTGACAAATATTTAAAGATCTCTCCTAATATGCTTGATGAACTTAAGATGAGAGAGATACAGAACTAACTGAATGACGGAGCATATCAAATAGAAGAGAAACTGCTGAACAAAATAAATTCTAGAATTACAATAGAACTAATGCAGTGAAGATGCATTAGCGGAGCTAAGTTGGACAGAGGAAAGGATAAGCATGTTCAAAGACAGATTGTTCAAAATTATCACTTCCAAAGAGGAAAAGAAACAATAAATAAAGAAAAACACTATAATTACTCACACTTTTTATGAAAGATAGATCATAACTATAGCCAGGATGAAGGAGAGAAGTAGAGGGGGATGTGAGGGGTCGGGGGATGTTGGATAGAAGGAGGGTAAATGATGGGACTACACCTATACAGCATATTGCAGGGGTATAAGTCAAATATACCAAGGGTAGAGCATAAACGTCTTAACATAATAATTAAGTAAATGAGGTGAAAGCTATATTAATTAGTTTGATGTAAGCATTCCAAATTGTAT